GCTCGGACCTAGCCGACTGCTCTTCCCAGCAGATGTCTGCATATACCTGCATACACAATTGCATATACCTAACAGTACTGAATTGGCAGCAAATATAGTATAACCTCATATATCCGGTTTTCAAAATTCCAGAATTCTCAAAAATCCAGCACTTTTTAAAAATACACTACATCAGGGGTTTTCAACTTTTTTTGACCAGCGTACCCCCAGCGGCCGGTAACAGAGCGGAAGGGGAAGTAGCAGTGGCCACACATGCAGCAGCGGCACGGGGTGGTGGATGGTGGTGGCAGCCGCGGCATGCAAGCTTCCTTTCCCCATCACGTCCAGCTGGCCGGGCAGTGCCAGGCTATGCACCTTCCTTGTGTTTCAAAAATCCAGAATTTTCAAATTTCCAGCAGGTGCTAGGTCCCAACGCTGCCAGATTTATGAGGTTATACTGTAGCTATATTTTCATTAACTTCAGGATTCAAAAGAATTTCTATTTAGCTGAACCTGTAAGAAATTTTGAAAAATATATCATATCTTCCCAGCTAAACACTTGGAGAAACACCATCAAAAAGCAATGAAAATGAGGAAGAGGAATGTAAACTTGAAAGATGCAAAATTAAATTGCGAGGTTTTTTTCTAATCCATCCATTATGTGCATTAAAAAAAATACTTAAGAAGATCAGTATCACAAATCCCTATGGAAGAAGGGCATGAAGATAAATGCATGCAATTCCTGTAAGGACCACTTTACACATGCTGGAAAAGGTGCAATGGGATCTAATGTATGATCCACACAATGGTGCCACCTGCCACGCTGCACGTGCCTTACTCTGTACCAACAAGAAGCAAGCGCCTGTGGCTGGGAGCCCCCTCAGCTCCTGCAGTCTCCCAGTTGTGGCGCTGCACCAAATGAGGTCTCCCAGCTGCTGGGGTGCATGGTACTCCCAACCATAGGGGGTGTGAAGCACCCCAATGACTGGATGATTACAGCAGCTGCAGAAGTGCATGCAATGCCCCCCATGACTGAGACTGCAGCAGCTGTCATCTCCTACCTGGCAGCTCCCAGGCCTGGGGGTGCACATGGGTCCCCCCAGCTAGAAGCTTCAATCTGCTTGATAGTGCTCCCCAGCCACAGAAGCCCCTGGCCAAATTACCACAAAAAAATTCTCCAAACAGGAAACCAAATCTGGACTACATAGGCACAACATGCCCTCTCTCCCCCCCTCTTTAAATTAATGTTATAAAGAATGCTAGCAAGTGAAATTCAAACACAAACCAGTAATTGCATCCCCCAGCCACAGCTGTCAGAAGCAACAGAAAAAGTAGCTAGAAAGTAGCTGGCCCCACTCCACCCTTTTCCTCTAGGGAACAATGTACATGTATCTGTGTGTCCACAGGTGAAAGGGCCTAGGAGTTCAGGCATGGGCCAATGGCCAAAGCAACCAAATCACTGAACACCAAGAATGAGGCAGAGACAGACAACTGAGTGAAGCGGCAGCATTTGCATAACTAGGCAATTTAAAGTGATTTAACAGCCAAAGTAGCATTTTTTTACCAGCTGCCTCCTTTACAGGTTCAAATTGATCTGTTTAGGGGTGCACTTATGCAAATCAGAATTGATGTCCATTCAAACTTACTCAAGAGTATCCAAATGCCATATTATAAACATAAACAAATGCAAGCTAGAGCAATTTATCAGTGGAGGAAAGTGGATGGGATTGTTTTAAAAAAAGCAAGTGTAAGAAGGGATGTGGTCAGGAGAAAATTAACGTTGCAATATGAGAAAATCTTGGAAGATTTCCTCTATGAATATACTACACTTTTCAACAACAACATGGTACGAATGGCTACCTAAAGGTTTGCCTATATGTGGTGGTCAAAACAAAAAGAAAAGATGAAGTCTCGATCAAAGCAAAAAACAACCCTCCTTAACAACCCAAACAACCCAAGCTTAAAACCCTCCACCCTAGCTTTTATATACATAAGGCAACGTATATAAAAATATATGCCCCCGTAATAATCTTACCATATCTACCAGTGCCACGTAGAGGAACATGCCTGCAGTGACTGCAAAGATCCAAAGGGTGATGTTATTGGCATACTGTCCAACGGCTGTGCCTATCAGCATTCCTATGTAAGCCATCATGGCAGACAGGACATTGTATACAATGGCTTGCTTTACTGTCATTCCTGCTTTAAGCAGCACAGCAAAATCACCTAAAAGAGAGACGGAATAATGCAGCATTTAAACTGTTGTCATTCTTTGAGAGATTAGTTTCTAACCAGCAACCTTTATAAGTTGAAGCCTGGATCAACCCAACCTCAGCCCAGTGGTGACCAGGTGGCTTTGGTGGCCTATCAAAAACAGGGGAACTTACCCATGCTTGCACCAGGGCCAGACATGCCACCACTTCTCCCTTCTGTTCCCCAGCTGGGGTCAAGGCCAACTTCCAGCCATCAGGGAACTGAGCCATGGCTGGGGCAGCTGGGAACTATGCCTGCATTGCAGCCACTTCTCCCCACCCCCTAGCTGCAGTACAGGCTGTGCTGGAAGTTGCCCAGCCGCAGTTCAATTTCCACTGGTTGAAAGCTGCGCCCATGCTGCAGTAAGGGGGACAGGGAGAAGCAGCAGCAGCAGTGTGGGTGCAGCTTCTAGTTGCCTGACCCTAGCACAGCTCCTCACTGCCCAGTTGCAGCATGAGCGTGCGCAAAGGCAAAGCCCTCTGGCTTTGCGGGCCAGATCCAATGGCTTTGCAGACCATATGTTGATGACTCCTAACCTAGAGGAACTGCCAAAGTGTCCCCTGTGGCCACTTTGATGGGAGAAAGAGCAACAGTACATGATTAGAGAGTTTTCTACAATACAATTACATTTTTTAATTAAGGAGGAGATCTATACTTCCAAAGATGCTCATGACTTGGGCTGACTAATTAGGAGCAGCATTAACAGAGTTATGAAGGAATCCTAATCCAGCCCTCTTCAATCGACTGAGGCTGTGAAATCTGTATGTGCAAAAGAAGGGAAGTTCAGGGATTTTTAATTTTTTAAAAGATCTTTAAAAGATTGGCCTTGCCAGTATTTAATATCCTAGACAAATTCTACTTTGTGCTCAAAAGGATAAAAAAGGCTTCAGCACTACAGGGACTACAGCAGAGGAAATTGAGAAATGATGTATCAAGGCACGCAAACAGCTGATATCCACACTGATTTATTCCTCATGGACTTGAAGAAATGCTTGTTCTGGTACCAGTATGGGCTATTTGCAAAGCTAACACAAGTGTAAGTAACGAGGCTCAGATTGTGCCTCCTAGTTGGATTCAGTATTGACTGCCAGTATCC